GAACGTCGAAATTAGCCATTCTTTCCCTCACCATCAGAGGGATGCTCGAGTTAGGGGCCCATCTGGTCAACTCCTCGAGGTAGAAAGTGATTGGTTCCGATTTGCCTTTGACCCTCTTAAGAGTCACCGCTTGAATCGGGGTTGCGTTGACCAACTCGTCTAGCTTTCTTTTCACAAGTTTATGGAGAGGTCGTTGAACCCCCCGCTGGTTATAACCATGGCGGAGGGGAATTTCTCCCACCTGCTATGCATGGACAGAGGTTCTTCCCCGTACCTGTCGGGGACGTAGAAGTCCTTCGACCTTGTCACAGAGAAAGCTATCTTGATGGAGGTTGCCTCATCTGATGGTTGGGTGTCCTCCTCGGCCTCTTTTGTCTCGTGGGCATCTCGACAAGGGGCGTCATTGCATCGGTATTTTCTGAGTCTGCCACCCTTGATGAGGGTTTCAATGGCGTCTTTGAGGTGGACACGGTCTTCAGTCAGATGCCCATGACTCTGATGGTACTGACATTATTTTCTCCTGTCAGCCCCTGGCTTCATAGGAACAAATTAAGGATGTCTGACTCTACCATCCTTGAAGTCGATATTAGAGCACTCTGCCAGGATGCGCTCGTGGGAAGTGGTCAGCAGAGTGTATTCAGTGAATTTCCCTGCGTGTCCCCTATGCTCTTGGGGATCACGCGGTTTATCGTCCCTTCTCTTCTCGCTCGTTCGTCAAGGAGGGCCTGTGTCCTGGTGTCGCAGGGTGTTGGTCGGTCTGTGATTCCTTGGGTCACAAGCTTTGTTGGCCGCTTCCCTCTCCTTGTAGTCCATATAGGCCCTAGCTTTTTCGAGGAGAGCATCAAAAGTCCGGGGTGGTTCGATGCCGACGACCTTCCTGAACTTCGTGCCCGAAAGGATTCCTCTCTCGAGCAAATATCTTTTCACGTGATCGGTGCAGGGGACCTGAATGGCCTCACAGTTGAATCGATCTATGTACTCCTTAAGGGTTTCGTCGCTTCTTTGGATGATAGCCTCGAGAGTGGCTTCAGTCTTTGGATGTTGATGAGAGGCTGTGAATGAGCTGATGAACTAGTTCTTTAGGTTTCTCCAGGAGGTGATTGACTCTAGGGGGAGGTTCTTGTACTAGTCCATTTCTGTCTTTCTCAAGGTCGTGGGGAACAACCGGCATTTGATCGGTCCCCTGACGTTATGATAGTGGAGCATTGCCTCGAATTTGTCGATGTGGTCGACTGGATCCATAATGCCGTCGTATTCCTTCAGTTGGGGAGGTTTCTCCATTCCCCTGGGAATGGGCGCCTCCATGATTGCTTGTGATAGGGGACCGCGGGGGTCGTCTTCATCGCTCCTGTAGGAAGAGTGGGAAGGGGGCCGGTTGTAATGGTGGTCGTAGTGATGGCCTTGGCCTCAGGGAGTATGCCTTGGCTAAGGATGCGCTTCTCTGTTGGCCCTGTTTTTGTTTTCAGGGGAACCATGTTCCCCGCGCTGGGGGTGAGGTTGCGTCCCCCGGTAGCTTCGGGCAGTGGTATCTCCAAAGCAAGGCATCTCCCGATGCATCGGGGAGAGCGGCTTCGTGATATGTCTCGTCTATGTCTCTGTGGGGGAGACTGAGGATGATCTTCGTTCTGTCGGGGAGGTGGAGTGTTAGGTCTTCTGTATCTTCTGGGGGCTCGACGAGAATCCTCGAGCACCCTTAATCGTTCACCTTGCGAGAAGATTAAATAAGTTGTTTGGTTAATAGCCGCGAACAGAGCCCTGGTCGTGGCGTCTGCGCCCGCGAGGACGGGGACCTCCTGGAAAACGTTTGGCTCATAGTTCTGGGGCAGATGGGCATCCTCATGTGGCTGAGAGAGGGATGATAAAGAGGCGGTCATTCCGTCTCTGTAGTTCTGCACGAGACCGGCCATGTCGATGTTGTTGTTATTGTTGTTGCCCATGTTGTTGATGACGTTGTTGTTAGGGTCGGCGAGGTGGGCATTTAGGTTGTTGTTAGCAGCTGGGTCGGCCATGACAATCAAAAGAATTTGGAGAGTTGCTTTAGTCTTGGGAAAATGAAATAAGGGGAAGCTAGTTTCCCACAGACGGCGCCGCTGATCGTACCTGACCAGAAAGGATTGTCAAAGCCCACGAGCTTCACATTGAACATCAGTTGAAGGTGAAGTGAGGGATACCTGCAAGACACTTTGGTGCCAAAGTAAGGTTCAGAGTAGCGCGAGCAAGTATGAGAGTGAGTATGAAAGAATGAATATATGGCTCTCTCAAGTGAGAGGGTATTTATATCCCCGAGCATTGGGGCAAGGTCCTCATCGTTGGGCTGGGCATGCAGGCCCAAAATGGAGACTGCAAGGTCCTACATGCGTAGTGGGGGGAAGCACGTGGTCTCCAACCTGAATGGACTCCCCCAAATTGTTAGGAGGATGTGGATACGGTCTTTTCGGGATCAAGAGGACTCTGTGATATTCGGGGGTGTTGAGAGTCAACCCTACGAAGAGGATGTTCGCAATGTCTTTCTGTCCGTTGTGGGCCCTCTCCGCCGGATGTGAGGTCGTCTGGGAGGGCTTGTCTTGATCGACGAGAAGAGTGGAGGATGCTCGCGAGATCCCCCTAAACGGTGACGAGCCTCCCCGCGATTCCTGAATTTATCCACGTATGGTGAAGCCGCATTTTCCCGAAGGGTGAGGTTGTTGCCCGACATAGTTGAGGGCAGACTCGATCAGCAGGCCTCCTTGAGCAGTATAGTTAGATTGTGCCTCGTATGAAGTTGAGCCAAGTGCAGGCCCAGTCCAGAACACTTACTCTCGCATCATCATTGATTTGGATTATTCTCCTCACATGTAAGTTCATTTTCTTGTTGGCCTTGAACAATCTTGCTTTCGTAGGACTAGTCTCATGAGAATAGTTAGATTCAAATTGTGTATGTGCCACAAACCATCTTCTTTCATTTTAATACAAATATTGGCAGAACAATTTTTTTCTCTAGATGGTAGTGTCTTTAACGTGCATGGAATTTTTGAAACGTTAGACCCCTCTCTTGAACATGAAAGTATTAGGTAGTTGAGCTCCTCATCATCTCCCTTTTCGATGATCTAATCCCCCGTTCAAAAACCTTTTTCAAAGCATACTCTTGATAATATGTTTTAACTTCGTCTGCAGAAGAAAAACAGACCCCAATTTCAAGAACCCAACGTGAATCATCATCATCACCATCACCTTGACCAACTTCTACATCTTCCCTTTGAGTGTCTCCACAATCTATTAAAATGTTTGAACTGACCATTATGACACAAAAATTGCAAAAAAAAAAAGTCAATTCGATGTATAATATAAATTTATAATAATGTTGGTTAATAGTGTGCAAAAAGATAGTTAATATTGTGTATAACTTGCTTAATAAACTCACAAACATGACTACGAGTTTATAACATTCTTTATTATAAAGTTAGTTAATAGTGTGAGACAAGTTAGTTAATATAGTTCTAAAAATGTTTAATGAATCAAGATGAATAAATATATAAAATCGTTTAACAATAAATAAATAAATAATTATAGTTAACATTGTGATAAAAGTTGGTCAATAAAGTTTACAACAAAGTTAATGAATATCATAAATAAATATAAAATCAATAACATTCTTTATTCATCTTTTATTATAAACACTACAAAATTTGATTCAAAAGAAGAAGATTAATATTATTGGATGAAACTTTAATAATACCTAAAAACTTAACGTGTTAAATCTTCATCTTTATTATTTAATGATGTCAAATAAGTTTAATTTTTTCTTAATGTTAAATTTACTGCTTAAATCTTCATCCTCTCTCAAAATCCATCTCTTTGATTTAAATGATTTGATAAAGAAAGATCTTAATTTAATTTTAAAAGTTTTTTATTTATTATTTTCAAATTTGATTTTTGTAATATATTTTTAATTTAAATTTATTTTATTTTATTATAATTTAACCATATTTTTAAATAGCATAATTGCAAAATTTTGATACGGAATCATTTTTATTATAGTGCTACATCAAAATGGAAATATTTCAAAAATTATAAAAAACAATGAACCCAAAAAATGACTTTAAAAATTAAAAAACTAAATTAATTTTAGATTTAAAAAAAAAAACTTTATATTATTTAACCTTTTTGTGATATAGACTAAAGTATATTTTGACAGATCTGTTACTAGATATTAGGTAAGATTCACTCTCTAGTAACACATCATCTACTAAAATACTAAAATGTCATAAATAAAATAGCGATGGAAACTGAATTAATGCCAAAAGTTTAATAACAATTAACAAGATCATGAAGATGATAAAGATCTTTGTATGTATATGTTTGATGACCATTGACCATGTCCATGGGATTGGTCTATGATTGAGTTGAGAGTCACAAAACAATTTTAAAAAGATTACTCTATCAAAGTGGACCCCACTTAAACAACCATATTTATGGTTGGAATTATGTTAGATTATAGTTTAAGGCAAGTCATAAAAATATGCAATAAGTGAATGATGCATATGATGAAAACTTAACTACTAGAATTTGAAAAACAATAAAGAAATAAAGCATGAAGATTTGATGCTCATTTATCTACTTTTAGTTTGAATCCACAACCTTTGTTGTAGTAACCTATAAACTTGTTTTGTCCAAGAAATTGTCTTTGGAGTTTGAGGTATAAGTCTTGGAAGGACCCTCCCCTTTTTTGTGCCTTTCAAATTCTCTGCAATTTTCTAGACTCTTGTCTCACGGTACACGCTTCTTTCTCTCAATTTTTGAGCTTTTTTCACTTCTTTTTTTCTTTTTTGTTTCTTAAATCTTGTACCAACTTTTATATTTTATGAACTCGTTAATAATTGCACGCATTCACGCAATTCAACGACAGTATGAATATCGTCGTGAATGCGTGCAATGTCTATATATGGTGTCATTCCATCATTGAACTTGATCAAAAATGTTATATTGTTGTGTATGCTAGATTTCTAGTCCTGCATATCATAATGTCATTCAAGAGTATTGTGAGAGAGATCAAGGAGATGAAAGAAGGAATTGGAAACATGTATAGAAAAAGGGTAGAAGCTAAGCATATGTATAGACATGGAAAATCTCACATTGCACCAGAATGTTCTTCACCAATATCAATATCAATATCACCAACACAAACACCGTCTTCGTCATCGCCATCGTCACCGAGCAAATGGGCTAGTTTACCTCCTGAGTTGCTATTAGACATAATTCAAAGAGTGGAAGCTAGTGAAACCTCTTGGCCGTCTCGCCGGGCACTTGTAGCTTGTGCCTTAGTTTGTAGATTGTGGAGAGAGATAACAAAAAGTGTGGTTAAGACACCTGAACAATGTGGTTGGATCACTTTCCCTATATCATTGAAGCAGGTCATTTTTTCTGCACTCTATGTATTTGATTCAATGTCACCTTTGTTTCAAACTTGGTTGTATGATACTAAATGTGTGATTATTTTCGTTTTTTCAGCCTGGTCCAAGAGACAATACAATTCAGTGTTTTATTAAGAGAGAAAGGGTTTCTTCTACATATAGCTTATATCTTGGTTTGAGCCCTGGTAAGATTGTTGTGTTCATATGAGTTATACTCAATCTATCAATTTAGTCGTTAAATTACCGTCTTTGTGAAAATTGTTATTTTGTATTTGCAGCTCTTTCTGGTGATATGAGCAAACTTCTCTTAGCAGCAAAGAAGATAAGAAGAGCAACATGTACAGAATTTTTAATATCATTGGTTTCTAATGATTTCTCTCAATCTAGCAATACTTACATTGGAAAGTTAAGGTTAGTTTCGTTAATCAGTCCACATCTTTTCGTCGATGGTACATTTTTATTCGACTGCTTGATCATTAAGTAATGAACAGGTCTAATTTTCTCGGGACTAAGTTCACGATCTTGGACGGTCATCCTCCATATGATTCTTCGCTTCCATCGATTTGCAAGTTGCAACAAAACGTCCGTCGGAAGCAAGTACTTCCAAGAGCTGCTTCTGCTAACTATAAAGTAGCAACGGTGTCTTATGAACTCAATGTTCTTCGCACGAGAGGTCCAAGGCGAATGCGGTGTACGATGCACTTGATTCCCATATCTTCAGTCCAAGAGGGAGGAACTGCTCCTACTCCTATGGAGTTTAGCAATTGTCGTAATGAGCATGAATCTTCAAAAGGAAAGAAGGCAGAAGTGGTTGAATTAGGCTCAACTTGCACTGATTTTGCAAGAGAACCACTGCTTTTGAAAAACAAAGCACCTAGATGGCATGAACAACTTCAATGTTGGTGCTTGAATTTCAAGGGACGGGTTACGGTGGCTTCGGTAAAGAATTTCCAGCTTGTAGCAGCTGCAGAACCTTGCCATAACGTTTCGGCTGCAGAACAAGAGAAAGTTATACTTCAATTTGGAAAAATTGGCAAGGACATTTTCACCATGGATTATCGATATCCTCTCTCCGCTTTTCAAGCTTTTGCAATCTGTTTGAGTAGCTTTGACACAAAACCAGCTTGTGAATGATAATGCCTTTGCAATCTTATTTGATATAAAATGTACATATTTACTTAAGAAAATGCTGCACAAAATAACTTTCATTTTTCATTCAGCGGGTACAAGTTTGTGTAATGCTAGCTGTTAGAATCAATGTTTAATGTGTAATCAAGTTTGTTAATTTCCTCAAGCATGACATTGCAAAGTACTCCAGACATAATATATATTTTTCTTGTAAATGTAAATGAACAATTAAAATTAAGAATGACATTGATCATAAAAAAATAAATAAATTAAAATTGCACAGTATACATTATGGATGTTGTCAACACTTGCATGACAGAAGTGGCGAAACTGGTTCGTTATTTTCTTATACTTGAGTGTTGCAATATTTTTATACTGGGAAAGCTATGTTGTTTTTTCTTCATTCACATAATCTCGATATCTTCATTATTATTGCCACGACTGAACTTGCAGCCATAACGGCGAACCGTTGGCTGAAATGTCGACTTCTGAGACCGGCTCATGTTAAACTCGGTCCTCTGATTGTGAGTGTCTTTATCGTTGTGATTGACGGTTTCTAATGGCTTTTGTGGAAGTGTAACTTGAACTCCAGGGTCTCTTTCATTGATTGAACCATGAAACATGAGTGAATTATTGATACTTTGTATGTTGCTGTTAACATATGCCTTCCCAACCTCACCATGCTCCATGGAATCTTCTTCGTTGTTAGTGTTTCCTTCTCCATCTGTGCTACCCTCAATGCTCTCTTCAGACTCAGTCTTGTAGTCCCTATGAATGTGGATTGATCCATCTTTCTTATCTGATTCAGAACCAACATGCATCGTGGCTCCTCTATTGTCACCGGTCAGTGTTATGACACTGAATTTCTTGTCATCCATAGGCTGTGTTGGTTGAACTGAAGCTGATATTTTATGAACAAACTTTTTAATATCATCTTTGATACCTTTCTGTATTGGAGCCTTTTCGTTTCGCTTTTCCCTTTCTTCGCTTGATGGAACAGTTCTTTCGTGTGATATGCTTGAGCTTGGATCTTTTGAGCTCATAACTCCTATGTCTTTTCCACTAGAGTTTGATGTGGCAAACATTATCTTTTTCTCTACTGTTTCTTTTACTCCATGATGCTTCTTATCCTTTGTGCCAGAAGAAGATGGCTCGGCACGTCGAGTTGGTTGGCTAGTACTTTTGTCTTTGGATTTTCCTAACTTTTTGGCTTCATGCACAACTTTCTCCTTTTCTTTATGTTGAAGAAACTTGCTTCGAGTTTCCAAAGGGGACTTTGGTGTTGTTTTTGAGATTAATCTTTCCTCGACTAATTTTGTTGTTGTGTGCTTAGATAAAGTCTCTGGTTGTGGCATGAGGATGGTTTTCAATGGTGATTTCATCTTTGGCTTTGCTTCATCTATCTTTGGATCAGACACTGACACTGGAATTTTAACTTTTTGTTCTTGAGAGGTAGATGATGAATGCAAAGTGTTTTCTTCGTGGTTAGCCTTTCCTTTATGTTGAAGGAACTTGCTTAGAGTTTCCAAAGGGGACTTTGGTGTTGTTTTTGAGATTAATCTTTCCTCGTCGAATTTTGTTGCTGTGTGCTCAGACAGGTGGATAGTTTTCAATGGTGACTTCATCTTTGGTTCTGCATCATTTGGCACCGAATCAGACACTGACATTGTCACCTTATCTTTCTCTCCTTGAAAAATAGATGATGTATACGAAGTGTTTTCTTCGTGATTAGCTTTTAACGCCTGATTTTTTTGCTCCGAGGCCAAAGGAGACGGTGGATGATGCTGAGAAGTCTGTTCAATTTTAGAAACTTCCGGCGAAGAGTGTGTTGAATAAGATGGTCGTTCAAAGGCAATAGCTTGTTGATAAGAGGTCTCTGGTGACTTGGTGATTTCTCTCAATGGTGAATTCACCTTTACCTTCGACTCGGGCTCGGCTTCAGCTTCTTGTGGCATTGGTTGAGATACAGATGATGTAGGATGAGTACTCTCTTCAGTAGAAGAAGGCATCAACTTTGGCACCTTCACGGTGTCATACTGAGAAGGAGACTGAGGTGGAGTTGAGAAAACATGAAACTGAGATTCTGCATAAGAGAATGGCGGTGGAGAGTTGACATGGTTTGGAGATGTTGATGGCGAAAGAGGTTTTGAGTGAGTTTTCTCAACAACCATTGAAGTTGATAACGGAGTTGGATGAGCTGGATGAGGTGGTGATTGATTATGAGGTTCTGTTCTAGTGGCTTCTTGTGTCTTGGTAGGACCTGGAGGAGACTCTGCAGGGGTTATGACAGAAGGCCTACCAGATGATCTTTGAATGGGAACATTTATGTCTGATTGAGTAGATGATTTTGATGCATCTTTCGAATGGCGAGAAAATGATTGTGTTGCTGTTAGCCAAGGGATTCGAAAACGAAACGACGGCTTTTTTTGTGCCATGAATGGTTTGGTTAATATTTGAATACAAAGAGGACGGTGTTTTTCTTTCCCTAGTAATCAAATATCTGAGTTTAAGAAAAATGTAATCAATTTTGTTTGTCTAGTGTTGTGATTAAATGTAATGCTGCATAATGTGATTCTAGTCTATCTATATATACATAATTGAAGTTGTATTTATGCCTTGGATGCATGATGAGGCTTTCATTATATATATTTTACTTGAGCTCACAATTTCTTTATTACTTCCTTTTGAACATTTCCCACTGATTCCCTTTAAAAGTTCCACTTTGGTTCTTTTCTTCATTATATTAATGAATTAAAATATTCAAATAATCAAACATTTAGCCACCCATTGATTGTTGTTTCTTGACTCTTAAGAAAGGATATACCTTGCCTCATTGTTGTTTCTTTCTTTTAGTTATTCATCCATTTATTGAAAACTAATTTCATTTTAAACCCAAAATGTGAGTATTCTTTTTTGCTTGGCATGCTCTGCATAGGGCATGGCACATCAGGTTAGAAAAATTCCATGTGTAGGCAACAAAAAGTGCCTTTCTTCATATACTCCTTTGAAGATAAGAATTTAGAGGTGGGTAGAGACACATTTGGCTTGGCCTGAAACATTTAGGCAATGTAAAATCCAGAACTGTAAAAACAAACAAGAAAATGCTTAATCAAATTAATCTACTACTATATGCAAGACAAAAGTTCACAAGAATATTAAGAGAAATAAATCAGTGAATTCTGAACACCAATAATTCGTTCTTCCTAGCTATCAGAACGCCTAGTGTTTGAAGGGCCTTTTTCTCCATTTTAGTCCTTGCGTACATATAACACAAACTAACTTGAACATTAAAAGGAGGAGCCTCACCCAGCAGAGCAATTTTGTTTAAAATCTCTTCAGCTTCATCAACAAGCTGCATTTTTGCCAGCCAATCAATAAGAACAGAATGTGTTGCAACCCCAGGCTCAAACCCGTCCTTCTCTAACGTCAAAAGAAGATCCAATGCCTTTTCTTATAGGCGCGAATCATGGCAGCAGTGCACCTATTGTAGATTTTTTCTTATAATCTACGATAGCTTTTGTCGTTGAAAGAACTATTGTTGATTGTCTTTTACTAGACCATAAGATTAGATTATCATCCATAAACTGATAGCTTTCACTAGTGCTTTTCCTTTCAAGTCGTTTTCCAGCATAGTCAGCGTCACAATAACCTATTAATTTGTATTCTTTTGATTTCTATATATCAAATCAAAGTCAGTAATACCTTTTAGATATCTAAAGATTCTTTTAGCAATTGTTAAATGAGACTCTTAAAAAGCTGATTAGAATCTAGCATATAAGCATACACTATATAGAATGTCTGGTCCAGAAGCAGACAGATACAAAAGAAAACCAATCTATCTCTGTATACCTTATGTTCGACCTTCTTACCAGATTCATTCTTATAAAAAATACATGTTGGATGTATGGGAGTCTTAGTTATCTTATATTTTGATAGATCAAACTTCTTCATAAACTCCTTGGTATATTTGCTTTGATGAATATAGGTTCCTTCTAGACTTTGATTGATTTCGATTCTCAAAAAGAAGTTAAGCTCACCCATCAGACTTATGTCAAACTCTTCCTGCACAGACTTAGAAAATTCCTCACCCAGAGAGACATTAACAGAACCAAAAATGATATCATCCTCGTAGATTTGAACTACAAGGATATCATTTTCAAATGTTTTGCATAATAGAGTTGTGTCGACCATCCCTCTTGTTGGAAGTAATTCATATTAAAAAATTATTGTTAGAATCAGAAGCTTCTGATGTTATTACTCAGAAGCAGTGTTGCTCATAAGCAGTAGAGCTTCTGAGGTTGTTAGTCAGAAGTTGTAAGCTTCTGAGACTGCTTAGTTAGAAGCAATAGATTTATATATTCAGAAGTTGTTATTAGTCAGAAGCAGAAGCTTTTGAGGTTACGCCCAGAAGTATCTTTAACTTATGGAGTTTAGTTGTTTTGTTAACTTAACTATTAAGTTTAGTATTTTAGTATGTTGCCTATGTGGTCCTAGTATGTGTATATAAATAGACTAATGATAGTTATCATTTAATTGAATCTTCCTTTAGCTTTTTGTATCCGTCATTGCAGAGCAATAAATATATTCTCTTATTCTTTATGTTTTTCATCATCTTGTGCACTAACAATTGGTATCTAGAACTTTGGTTTGAATCAACAGTAAAACACGAGTGAAACGGTGAGGCGTTGTGTGATAGATTCTGTGAACGGTCACCAGTACAAAAAGGTTAATTTACACTCATTTTTTATTAAATTTACACCTTTTAAATTTAATAAAAATCAGGTGTATATTCATCAGGTGAGAAATGTCTAACGCATTTACACTCATTTAAAAAATGAGTGTAAATATGTTCTACGTTACACCCTTTTTAATAAAAATAGGGTGTAAATAGGTTCTACATCACCCTCTTTTTTATTAAAAATCGGGTGTAAATACGTTCTGAGTTACACCCTATTTTAATAAAAATCGGGTGTACATACATTCTTATTTACACCCTATTTTAATAAAAATCGAGTGTACATATGTTCTTATTTACATCCTATTTTAATAAAAATTGAGTGTAAATACGTTCATATTTACATCCTATTTTAATAAAAGTCGGGTGTAATTATCCCCTTTTCTAATATGATTTTACACCTTTTTTTAATAAAAATTGGGTGTACTTGCACTCTTTTTTAATATGATTTTACACCTTTTTTAAATATAATTTACACCCTTTATGAATGAACAAATTATATTATATTTAATTTCATTTACACCTTATTTAATATGCTACATTACACTTATTTTAGTTATCACATTTCTTCATATTACATGTACTAAAAAGTCATAATATTTCAAATACTATAAGTCATGCACATAAAAATCATATTTCAAGTATTAAGTCATAATATTTTTCATATTTACGAAAAAGTACACAATTATATTTTTGTTCTAAGTCATAATATTAAAGTCGTCATATTAATAACAAAATGTTCAACCAACTCATAATACTTCATGTCACTTTCTTCATATATATAAGTTTTCTTCTTCTTTCACAATTGTTTTGGTAAAATTTTTATGTCCTTCTCTTCTTCAACCATTTGCATCTGGTTTTGTAGCAGGCTGCAGCAAGAGATGAAGAGTTACAAATGATGTTTGAGTGGTGAATCAAACAGTATAGAATGGTTCCTTCCTAAACGAAAGCGCCTTTTGTATCTGCTATGTATCGATAAAGCTCCCTGTTATTTGCTCTATTTGTTTGGGCAGTAATCCACCGAAAATCACCATTCAAATTGTATTGCTTCATGAGATCATGCATCTTTCCAATCTCTGTAATTTCTTCTGTCACTGGACTTTTTGACATCGATATAACCAACTACTAAAACAATGTTGACAAGTTCCCTCAATTTTCTTTTCTTAGCATAGCTTTCTACCAAACCAGTTATGTTTTAACTCTGTCTAGCCTTGCCATGGAGAAAATTACAGACTTTGACCAGTCTGTCAGTGAACCGCTGCCAGAGACAAAGATAAACTAATTAGCTATCATAATCACATTTTGACTAGTTAGCTATTTTAATAATACAATATTAAGAATTGTAATACAATATTTAATAATACAATATATGAAAACACTTATCAAATACAACCAGTATCAGTAAAAGATTGGCATGAGTCATACTGATATCCAACCAGTACCAGTACACGATAAGTCTCATGACAACAAATAGAAAGAAACATAGCATGTTACAACGATACAAACCAGACCAATACCTATCTATTTGTTCTAATAAGCTTTGATGCAATGTTTATTTCAATATTGTTTGGTATGAGGTTTCTAATCCTCATTCTATCGTATCCCCCGGACAAATTAATCAAAAGAGTAAGGTCCAAGAAGGTTGTTGAATGACACTTGAACAATCTATGAGAATTACGATTTCTGCAATCTTGATAATTCTGTATGGAAATGATGTCTGGTTTTTCTTTTGAAATGGACTTTAAGCACCAGAAACACACTTTTCAAGTGTCATTTTGAACTTATGTTCCAAACTAGCAACTGAATTTCCGCTTTAGTTTTTATCAATCAGAAACGAAGTGTCAACAAATTAGCTTAATTTGAAGGCTTCTTTTCCAACGTATTTGCCTGTGAAATATGAAACTCCTAAGATTATGAAATCCAATTTTGTAGCATTTTGTTCCATTTTATTTATTTATTGGAGAACAAGAGTGTGATTTTCAGTATCACAAACTATAAACTTTTTGTGTTAATTTAGTGAAATGAATCTGTACTTCGATGTCTCTTCACGGTTAACAAGTTAAGGTTTCAGAAAAGTTCAACTAGATGATAAAGTTGAAAAGTTGAGGGATTTAGATTATTTTCTTCATCTAATAAATTTAAATTCATTAATATTCATTTATTCATTTATTTAATAATATTTAAATTATTTGTTAATATATTAATATGTTACATTAATTAAATATTTTGAGTTATAAAATTAAATATTTTTTTAAATTTATATATTTATATTAATTTTTTTTAATTTAAAGGGAGTAATTAAGATTCAATTATAATAATATTTTTAATTTAAATTCGTTTTTAGAAAATAAGGTGTATATTGTCATCTGATTATACTTAAAATAACACTTTATTTATAAAATTGCCACCGCTTTTCTCATTTATACCCATTTTTTTAATTTAAAGTGAGTAATTGAGATTTGATTATAATAATATTTTTAATTTACACCTGTTTTTATAAAATTGGACGTATATTGTCACCTGATAATACTTAAAATGACATTTTATTTACAAAATTGTCATTACGTTTCTCATTTACACTTGTTTTTAGTATATCGGATGTAAAATTTAAAATATATTGTTCTTTTTGCACTAGTGGGAATCGTAACAGAATCACATTTTCTGATTCTGCTGGATTAGGAAACATTGTGTTTGCTGAGA